CAAGTTTAATTGATCAAGCAGTATTGAAACTGACCGTGAGGCTGTCGGGGCAGTCTAACCGATTGATTTAAACCGATTACTATCGTAATTGGATAAAAATATAAAAACGGTCAAACTAACCAGAGAAGTTTCTTGTCAGTGTTTTTAAAACAGGCTTCATATTACTGTATATCACAAAAGCCGTACTCAGAAGAAACGACGCCTTATTTACTCCGAAACCATCGGATAGCTGTATGATCCTGAAAATAGATGTAAATTAAAAACAAACGATATGATATGACCAAACGATGGCTTAAAAAATTAAACATATACTGATAAAAGACCCGAACTATTAACATGTATTAAGTCATTTTTTTTCTCGGGGACCTCAAAACCTTGATCGTATTCCATACTTTATTGTTTCATTACATATCCCAAATGCTAAACTTGCCGATGTAGAAACGTCAGTTAACCACGCACAAAAAGTTGCCCACCAGATATCATAATACATTATTGATTTGATTTGGATAATTCATCTCGTGGCAGATTGGAATTTTAAACTGATTCGTACCTCTGAGAAATATCTCTTAAGTAATCTTCATTCAGAAGGTGCTCATCAAGAACCGTACTGTATTGGAGAACTTCATTGTCAATGACAAAGAATTTTCTTTGAAGAGGTGAAACCAATTCTTCGTCACAGATATGTAGCTAGCAATAATGAAAATATAATCAAAATCAACTGGTGCAAGGTATTTTGTGCGTTTAGGCCGGGTTTAGAGAAGCGGTAAGGAATTTATAATACGGCACTCATTTGTTTAAGGCCTCAATGCACGAAGTTATAAATAATTATAACTGTACTATTTATAAAATGAAAATGCCAATGTTACCTGGTTTGAAAGATACCAATATCCATCTTTCTGATATCCAAGATGTTGTGCTTTATAAAATTGCATTTGGTGATTGCCCAAGTCACGTTTGCAGAATGAATAGTATTCTGCCAAAGTACTGGCAGTTACCCCTCCCCCCAAATTTAAAACTCCAGAGCCAAACCGGCTTCTCAGCTCCGTCATAAAACGTGACTTGGAGTCAAATGAATTTGCAGGCAGGACTATGTTTCTGGTGAGTAAAGTAGATTTTGAAAACATGAAATAATATTTACATAAATCAAAGTAATTATAAGACATGAAAAGTTTTACAACCTACAAGTACTAAACCTAATATAACACTCCTGCATTTAAAGTAAACGAGTATTCACATTGCAGCTCAGTAAAAACCTGTATGCGTTCAGTTTCAGATGAAATTCACTTGTTAAGCATATATTTGACTGGCTCAATCAGTTGATTGACACCTCTATCAAAATGGTTTTCATGCATCGTCACTGTAGGAAAGAAAACCTAAGACTTACTTGGTCTCAAGTTGGCCTCGTGTAGCTGCAGTGCAGGTGGCAACCCAAAAGCCGTACTTTTCTTGCTCCTCTGACAGAAGCTCTCCCTGAAGCTTTAAACTGAAATCACCAAACAGCTGGGGCACTTCCGCATTTTCTTGGAAGAATGTTTTGCCACTTTCAACAACGAATTGAAGTCCCTAGAAAAATACACAGTTTTAAAGGCGTCGTTCGAAATAAAGAAACAACGCCCTTATTCTCGCGATTCTATCCGCAAAGCAAAAGAAACTTAAGCTAACAATCTAGAACCTAATGCCCCTAACAAACGCAACGAAATGTATTAAACCTTTTCTTTCTTATCAGTTTTTTTTTTTGGATTATCAAGCAACTGTTTACTCTACTGCATATCTTTTTTACTATCACGATACCATTTAATCACGCCATTTTGTAATTTCAGTTTTATATCACGAAATATCTTCTGTATGTGTAAACAATGAAACCAATGTTATTACATATCTGATGAAATAGCCGAAAAATGATGAGATTGTCCAAGATTCGCTTGGGCTACCTGTGTTTTTGTGGGATGGGAGGGGACTAGGACAAAATTATAATTCTCGGTTTGCACCAATCTCGTACCCAGAGCCCACACTTTTGCCATCCAGCGGATGTCAATGCGTCAGCATACCGCTGACATTGGACGTGAAGACTCTGGGCCCGAGATTGGGTTTGCACATGACGTCATCACTCGAAAAAAATTCTAAAATCACAGACACACAACATTACAGTACTAAAATACCTTGAAGAGCATGATAGAAGTTCTCTCTGAAAGTGTCAACTTTTTTGGCTGTTTATTCGTTGAGTTAATTAACGTCAGAAGTACATAATTAACCAGAAGTGTCCATCTCCCCAATAATAATATCGACACCATCAGATGTCCCGATAATTTATTTTTAGACAACCAATCACAACGCGCGCACATATTACACGGTACCTGATTGGTCCTTGTTGATCTACTTCAAGAGCGGACAAGAAAGGAAAAAAATTATGTAGTCGATGGAGGCGAACGAATTGAAGTTCGCATTTACGAGAATTTTACACCTTTTGCTGAACAACCAATTTTGAATTCGATAGAAAACATACTTTACTATATGAGCAATGTAGCGAAGGAACGGTTCAAGAGCAAAATGTAAAACAGCGTGCTTAGTAGTGTAAAGTAGCTTCCTTACAATCAAATAGAGCTGGACTTAAACAAGCCAAAGGTAAAGTAATTTTCGACTGTTAACGTGAGATGGAAAAGCTGTAAATTTTCAGGTAGACGGAGTTTGTTTTGAAATTCAAGTTAGTTATCGATATTTCTTTGATGACTTGTCTTGCTTGTGACTTTTCATAACTTAACTTATCTTGTTTTAATACTTATTGTTAGCTTAATTCGACATGATTTCGTTATTAATACCCTCTGTACCTATTCGCCATTTGTTTATTCCTCGCTTTTTCTTTCAAAGAACAGTCATTTTTCAACTCCTCGAAGAGTTCTCAATATAATATGAACTTAATTTGAACATCATTTTTCTAAAAGAGTTTGACTTTTTGTGACATTTTTCGCACTCGGGCATCGTTTTGTAAAGTAGTTTTCCGCTTTTTATAAAGCTATTTAGATCCTAAAGTACCTTTACTACAATTCTATGTATGAGTATAAGGGCTTTTTAATTCTATTAGAACAGATTTCTTATTAAACGAGAACAATTATCGCCACAAAAATCACATTTTTCTAGACATTTCTTCGCACTCCTTTTGTCTGCATCTTTTTCATCTTTGTCTGAACTTTTCCCTTGTTTTCGCAGACCATATTGCTCTTGAACTTCCTTCGCTACATTGCTCATATAGTAAAGTWTGTTTTCTATCGAATYCAAAAATGRTTGTTCAGCAAAAGGTGTAAAATTCTCGTAAATACGAACTTCAATTCGTTCGCCTCCATCGACAACATAATTTTTTCCTTTTTCTTGTCCGCTCTTGAAGTAGATCAACAAGGACATCAGGTGCCGTGTAATACGTGCGCGCGTTGAATTATCGGGACATCTGATACAGTGTCGATTATTCTGGTTATGTACTTCTGTAAACGTTCAAAAATATGTTACGCAATACTTTCAAGCGACTTGAAACACGCCAAATAAATTTTTAGGATGATATTGTTCGAAAAATTAAGCAAACACATTAGTTTTGAGCTCATTCGACACTCGGAGTTACTGTCCGCGTTGTTGGTGTACTGTCATGGCTTTCCATACTTTCCCTTGTAAAATAAGACCTTATTCAAACGCTTATATTTTTGCTATAAAATCGCAGTTTGACTTCAAACTTTGCATAGCTGTTGGAAATTATATGCTCTTTTTGGCCTTGTACATGAAAAATTCATTTCGATCTTAAAACAAAGTCTGTTGTAGTTATTTTATGACCAGTCTAAAACGCATTGAGCCGTGATAATCCCATACATTCTTACCAACTTTCGATCGCTCGTATTTCTGTAAAAAGCATTATTTTGTCTCAAAATTTCGCAATAATACTTTCATTTAGATGTTTTATCGAGGACAATAATAACATTTCGCTAATTTGGCCTCTAAATAGCAATTTTATAATAGCAAATTCTGTAAGTTTTACTCCATTTTAAAGCACTAAAAGGTGAAATGTTTCTCCGAAGCAATTGTTTTTTATCTACGTAGTAATGGTCATTCATTTTTAGATTCATTAAAAAACGACTTTATTTCGTGTTTTAATAGATAATCGCTCCAAACTTATGCCGCCCTCTTTGGAGCTAAACCACAAACTTTAAGGCGGATGCACACTAGCGTTTTTTTTCGTGCAACTTGTGTCGCGCAAAAAAATGTTGAGCCCTCGTGCAACTTGAACATTTCATTTTTTTGTTGAGAGAAAAGTAGAAATGGCTTGCTCGAGCTAAGTTGCAACGGAATTTGGTAGTGTGACATGACAGGGTTCGTACAGATTTTCACATATAAAATTCAAGGACTTTTCAAGGACCTAGCTCCAAAATCAAGGACTTTTCAAGACTGTACGAACCCTGCATTACATCGTGCAACCTATTTTTTTTTGCGCGACACAAGTTGCACGAAAAAAACGCCTTTAAATAACCAAATATATTGAAAAATATGAAGGGCAGTACCTTTCCTTCGCTAACGCTTTCATCAACTGATTGATTTTCATCCATTTCATTAATTTGGCTCTCAAATCTAAGTCGCCACGAGCAGAAAGAGGAAAGAGAAAACACCAGTAAAGACTTAACTCGACGACACCGTATTGAGAAAGACCTCAGGCATGAGCCAGAGGAGAGCACGTGATCACGTCCATGTCAAATCTGTAAGTACAGGAGCGAGGATTGGTTAATCCTTGATTGTTTCCATCATGATTGGCTCTTTCGTCCTTACAGATTTCACAACGACCTTTGACCTTACAGATTTCACAACGACCTTTGACCTTACAGATTTCGCAATCGATTTTGCAATCTTTGACCGACCTTTGACCTCATGAGGTGAGTTTCGTAATCCAGTGCGTTGTGTCTCGTGGTCAGCTTCCAATTTCAAACCATCATCATGATCTAAAAATGTAGTTCGATCAGCGGTCAGTCATCATGTCAACAGCTCCGACTAGGACTACATACACAAAAAGGGGAAGAGGCAAGTGCCCGTCATGCAACGAGGAATACGTCTCCAGGTATAAGCCACTGAAATGTACCAAATGTGGGTTTGAATTAGGTGGATCCTATGTACCTACAAAAAAAAAGGCGAAGAAGTGCTTTCCCGACGTTGTACAAATTACATCATCTATCTATTCTGTAAAGGCCAGTCCAAAAGACGACCGCTGCTTCGTTGTGAAGGAAAACGGAGAGACGATATGCTTGACAGAAGAGTGCAAACTACTCAGATCGACGTATGCGTCAAGTGGGAATGTCAGTGACTTTAAATGTAAACACGTAAACCTGATTGACACTGTACCTACCACGCTGCCTACCGCTACACACCACCTTAGTGAAGAATGCATATCCCAGTATTCAGGTGGCGAAACCGCACAGAAACATCTACGTGGACTACTTCCTTTACTTGATGGTAATTCCCCAGCAGTTGCTAAAGTTACTGACAGATCGCTAGCCGTATTTGGTGCTCCATCGGCGACTAATACGATTGGATATGTTCACCTACATATCGAATCCGAAGAGGACAGACAATTTCTCTGTCGAAGCAAGAACTGCAGAAAATATGTTAGTAACTCAAAACAATCAAGAGCTCGTGTAACATGCCACCACCTTCATCTACTGTACTGTTTGTTGTACAAAGAGGCAATGACATCAAAGACATCAAAGACATCAAAGACATCAATGGACAGTACAGAAGAAACAACTACTTTGTCAAGACAAAGCACTCTAGATGTTGCAGTGATGAGATCACTACCTTACGACATACCAGCATCATTGCTACACAATATATCAAGAAAGGATGCAGCTACAATAAGTGGAAACACCGGAGGCTGGCCTGATATATATGAGCCTCAATTTGAAATATGCATCAAGTGCCAGTCACCACTTTCCAATGCAAGACCTCATCCAGGCCAAAGATGCGACATCAAAGGCTATCTCATAACTGAGCTCAACCCATTCCGAAGAGTTTCTTTCATGGTCAAGATGTGCACCAATCCTTCGTGCAAGGCAATGCATCAATCAAACCCAGTTGATATTGGTAAGCATGATATAGAAAGTATTAATATTTGTTTTCAACCACGCCCTTTTTAAAGGACTTCAATTATATTTCAGGGGCATTTTTAGAGTTCTGAAAAGCATCATTTATATTCTATATTTATATTTTACAGCTGTTTGCAATAATTCTGACCCCCTCTGCCATATTTCATATATATCAAACTGACCTTTAATATTATGGGATATCATGACTGATATATTTTTTGAGTTGTCCAGAATGAGTACTTTCTAAAAAAATATCAGCAATGGAATAACGTTCAAATCGTCAGAATAATCTCTAGTAGCATTAGATTTGCCGTTTCAGGCTGGATTATCCCACGTTCAGTCTTAGAAAACATAGATTTGTAATGAAATATGTGGAACTTGTACAGTAAACTTTGTATTTACCGAATGACGAGTTACTCCATCTACGTCATCAACCCAGGCTCCCTCGCACTCATTTGGCCGAATTAAACGAGCATAAAAAGTATAAAATTTGGAAATTCGAATTTTTTTTATGTGAATTTGTGGTTTATAACTCCTAAACWTTTTTTTCCAACTGTAAAAAAAATTGGGTGAGGTGGACTTTAAAAAATTTAAAAGGGACAACGAGGACCCCCGCCTTTTGATATTAGGGACTCCCCCTCCGGATGCACAATGGTCCGACCCCCGGAATGTGTACAGAACACTACAAAACAATTATTTATAAAAATAGCTGTCCTGTTTATCATGTTCTTTGTATGTATGTGCGTTATAGGACTTTTTAACATCTCTGACAAGGTTGTTGTGTCTTTGGATATTTTCCTGCTCTTCCGCGAGTTATTCAAGCATGGCCATCCATTGACAAATGTCATAAGCTCGAAAATGGAAGTTCTTAAAAAAAAGTCCTTAGAGGTAATGTGCTTGTATCATATAATAATTTGCTAGTTGAACATTCGAGTTTCATGTCATTTTTTAAATTGCATTACTGGTGTTTCTGTGCTGAAAATCCCCCTCCTCCCCAGTTAGAGTGGATTTCGTATGACTGAGAAACGGATGATGACGTGATACGACTACGGCACGGCTACGATACGGATTCATTCGATCCTTTCTTAAGATAATCGCAAGAAATCATAATGATTCCCATTGACATTTATCCTTTAAACGCTTTTCTGATCGAATTTTGCCGATTGAAAAGTTGAAAACAGAGGTGCGAGAATTCAGCATACCGATTGGCTCAGTTGGTTGAGCATCGGACTACAATGCGGGAGGTCGTGGGTTCAAATCCTGGCCGGACCAATACTCTGCAGGGTCTTAAAATAATTGAGTAGAAGTTGCTGCCTGTTTCTCCATCTGCAAATGGTAAGATCTTCACGTCCTATCGGATAACGACGTTAAATCGGATGTCCCGTCTACTCAACTCTAACCCTGTAAGTGGACGTTAAAGAACCACTGAGGACGCAGGTACGACCATCCTCAGTGTCTGTACTTCGGCCGCATAACCTTAAGGGCACTAACACACTAACGCACTAACAAATCTAACGTACTCATGTTTGTACTGAAACTGTACGGCTGCTTAAAGCGCCTTCAATAGCAGTCTGTCCAAGTCCCTCACTAACTATGTAATCCAGATGTAATTCAGATCATTGGTCAGCAAAATCTGGAAAGTCGGCTACATCTATCTATCTATCTATCTATCTATCTATCTATCTATCTATCTATCTATCTCGTAGTGTAGTGTGACAGGAGACGTAGCCCAGTTGTCGGTACCAGCTTACGGTACCGTATCGCGCGATACGACAAGTGCCGTATGCATATCCAATCAACAATCGAACTTACGGTTCGGCAAACTAAGGTTACAAATCAATACAATCAGATGCGAGCAGAAAAAATCCTAACAACTGATCAGAATCCATGAATACGATACAGTTACGGTATACGGTTACGGTACGGACGCGATTCGTCATCACTACGTCCCCCAACTCTAGCGATGATTTTGTAATCTGCATAACATTAAATTTTTGGAACTTAGGAGAATCTTCCAACTGATGGTGAACTCGAATACATACAAAGCCTCCTATATAATGGGTTCTATTGCTTTGAAGCCATTACAGTAAGAGATGAAAATGCTGTCATCTGTGGGATATGTGGATTTTGTCCGGAGGTGTTGCTAGGTGATGGAAATGAGAAAAACTGTTGTAGAAATGACCAGGTAGGACAATATTTTATGCTGTACATCTCATTATTTTCATTTCATATGTAATTATGACTATCTGTACAATGATGAACAATGTATGCGCTAGAAGCGAAGTAAATGTCTTTTGATTAGACTTTTCGGACAGTTTGCTATAGTTGATAAAGTAATCCTAAAGACATAATAAAAATTGCAAAAAATCGGCGCATACGTCATTAAGGTGGCTTCATATAGTTCCAAGTTTTGTAGAACTAAAGTAGAACAAAAATTGTTTTATAGAAAAAGAAAAATCAATACTTGATTGAACGTTTCCATACACAGTTTAATCTCCCATAAGCAGACACCGTTGGGGGAACTGAGGAACGAAAAAAGTGTCCGCAAGTAGAAATGTCCGTCTAATAGAAAGGGATCTTAAAACGGTTAAATAACGTCAAATATTCTTGTTATAGCATTCCTAAGATTAAGGTAGTGTGACTCAATGTTTAAGTAAATTATTTTACAAGTACTCATATGTAAGTACTCACGTTGAGAGCTTGGTTTTCTCTAAAGGCTGAAGGTCGGTAGAAGAAAGAGTTACTGTATTTTTGCTCGGTCTAGGAAGAATTATAACAAAAAACGCCAATAAAACCGAAAAAACTCCGGGAGACTGCGGAACAATGAAATATAATATTGTTTTTTTTCCTTTTCGCTCTATGCGACCTTGTCCAAAAATGTTTTAATGTCCTGCGTATAGCTAACAAAGTTTAAAAAAAATTACCAGCACTGCAAAGTTTGTTATTGCGGGAAAGCGCACCAACAGAGGAGGAAGCTATGGACTATAGAAGTGCCAGGTGATTATCATTTTATCGGCGATGAATTTTTGAGAACTTTGGCTCGAAGCAGAACTAAAGTAAGAAGGCCATAAGACGTAATTCAGTTCCATGTATAGTTAGTCTTATCATTCACAAGCTATTGATCGTAAAAATAGATCAAGTAAACGTTATTTAACTTAATTGTTCGCTTACGGGAGATAGAAAACAATAAAAAATGTCAATTGGGAATCGATAAGAATGTCCGCGTCCGCTTTCGAGAAAGTCCGCTTAATAGAAAGTATAAATACAAAGCTCGTATGGGAGGAAAAACGGGATTTTGAGAAGCTGTCCGTAAGTAGAACTGTCCGCTTACTGTCCTTACTGTCCGTAACTAGAGATTCTACTGCATTAAGAAAAAAAACAAATAAAATTTGAAAGATGATTGATTTTGTAAGTTCGCGCGGGGTAACTGACTCATAGTTTTTCAAAATATAATATCTTCAAGTTTGGGATCTGCGCACAAGCAAGCAAGTATTAAAGGACTAGTCAACGATAGAGGCTTGATAAGACGTTTAATGTAGATCAAACTCTGGAAAACTCTTTCCTTCTATATCAAAATTAGATTTGCGCTCGTTTTTATAGGGATTTGTCTTATAATTGCATTATGTCAAAAACGTCAAAATTATCTTATATTAACTGAGAATATGGTAGAGGTGTTGCCTCATGATTAACGATAAGAAAATCCATAAAATATCATTCCTAAGAGGCTTTCACAGAATTCGGTTTCACGACAATTAAAGTACGATATATAAGGCAACGCATGGTTGTCAAAAGGTCAACAGGTACATCGGTTTATATGACTTAGACCGATATTTAAATACGCGATTAACTTAATAAACATCGGGGGGTTAAGAGTCGTACACGCCATAACCTAACACGAGGTTACACAACTTTGACCGTAGGTGTACGTGCTCAAGAGACAATCATATAACTGATCTGTTGTATCTTGCCTTTGAAAATAACGCGGGCTTGTATATCGTACAAAATACATGCGCAAACCTTTCTTAATAATTATTGAGTAATTTCCGTAATAAAAACATTGAAAAAGATTTCAAAAACTCATTAATTATTCATGAGGTATTCAGCCAATCCCTGTTTGTAATTTGTACCACGTGAAGTAACTTGAAACCAGAGGAAGTACTCGTACCTTGTATTCTACCTTATTTCCAGTTACTTCTACCTTTTTTCAAGTTACTTCTACATTATTTCCAGTTACTTCTACCTTATTTCCAGTTACTTGTACCATGTTTCCAACTACTACTAACTAATGCTAATCAAATTATTAGAAATAATCAGTTTAACATTAATTTAGTGAAAAAAGGTCTTTGATACATGACTCCCTCACGACTCGATCCCCTACCGTCCAGTCTATATGCGCCGTCTTATACCATTACGCCACCGATTTTCTGATGCTATTCATCGGAAGATAACATACTTATAAATCTTATGGATTAGACTCGGCTAGCGCCTCGGACTGGAACTAATCGCGCGGACTTTGAAACCCCGTCAAGTCCTCATTGTCGGCCTTTAAACATTACATAAAAATATATGTGGAAATTTCTGTCCCTTAACACAAGCTGGAAACTGTGTTAAGCTATCATCCTCAGTTTAAAGTTAAAAAAAGTTAAAAATTATCACGAATTTGATTAATTTTATTGACAGATCAATTATACTGCACAAGATGTGGCTGCACCAACTAGCCCAAGTGATTTTTTTAATAGTCTGAAAAGAAGATGGATTGAAAAAACCGTGCTGACGAGAAGTACCGACAAGTTCCGTGTATCTGTGGGAGAAATGCCACCTTTTATGGCACCTGCCTTAATTGGCAATATACTTCTTAATACAGAAGCCGAAAAAAGAAGTGTTTATCTCAAAGAAAATTCTCAACCTGATGGTATAAATAAATCAAGCCCTTAATTTCATATTCTGACTTGTCCAACTGATATTTATCACACTCAAGTAAAATTAAAATTGATTTTATTGATATTCAAATAGCTGGAACAGCCACTAGCTGTTGTCAGTTACTTATCTGTCTCGTTTTATTGCTAAGTTCTGATAGGTCAATTTTATTCAGTAGAGCAGAGTCACATGAACCATGAAATAAGAACTAAAAAGTACTAACTAATAGGGACTATTAGTTCCTAATATTCGTTAGCACTGAACCAGAACAGTTTATTTTATCCAATAAGCAATACCCAAGGGACCACTTTAACAATCAAAGTAATCTCTTTGTACTGTTCTGGTTCAGTGATAGTGTCTAAATAGTGCCTATTAGTAACTAAGTATTTAGTTTCTATTTCATGGTTCAAGTGACTCTGCTCTAGTTGCACTCCACTATAAGACTATAATACTACATAATTATTTCTTTTTTGTGAAGGTGACCCTGCTGTGTTACATCAAGTAATTTCAAGTAATGAATTCGACATGGGAACAGTTGATGTCATGACTCAAGACCAGCTTTCTGAAATTTGCAAAACCTGTAGTATTCCATATCAAGGAAAATCAAAGGTCAGTTACAGTTGTAACTTTTGCAGCATTTAAAATTTAATCAGCCTCCTTCGCAGGAAAAATAAACTCTCTTTAGAACTCATTCTATTCACTGTGGTAAATAGAAAGGTTAGGAGCTGGGCTGGGTGTGGAAAACGAGTCCCCTCTCCTCTTTGCAGCATAAAAATGGAAGCCACAAGGTTGCCTGCAGAGGAGGCTAAAATTTAATACAGTAAAAACTCACATACAAGAGCAAGGGAGCTACAAACACCCAGGCTGAAATTTGGCAATTTTAAAAGTACCATGTAAAAATTGCAATAAGCATAAAAATGAAGAGTTAAGAAGAAAAGCGAAGAGAGATAATAAGATGCATATCACAATATCAAACAATTTCAAGACTTTAGGCTGATAAACTTGGTGTGTGTTCTCATGTGTTTTTTTACTGTATGCTATTTAATATGCACAAGAGATTTGTCAATGATTACTGAACACATAAAATAATTAATCTATAATTTGTAATATTTATTACTTTGAAACTAATATCCCTGATATGTTTTAAATATGTGCCAGAGTGAAGGCATTGAACCCGTGAAGTAAAAGTTAATACTTAAACTGTAATAGTCAAATAGACACAAAAGAAAACAATAGAATTATCGAGTAATAAACATGTATTAGTCAAATATGTATTTCACCGGTTCACTGACTTCACTCTATCAGGCAAAGATGATCACAGACATCCAGGCTTTATATTCTTCGATGCTGATTGGCCTATGCCCATGCCATGGGTATAATCGTTCCAATGGATGCACTGGTGGATTCTACCATCTTGTCTGTAGACATGGTGTAAGTAATAACCTATACTAGGAAATAAATATATTTCAGTCTACATAATCAAAGGGAATTGTGGGGAATTACTGGACATAAAAGACAATAACTTTATGAGTTGGAAATATACTAATATTATAACATATTTTATTTATTCAAAATAAGACTTAGAAAAATGCTTTTATTTTTGTGTTACTGCTGCTGCTGCTGCTGCTGGCAATTACAATGTAACAATCTAACCAAACAAAAATGTCAATAAAATAGCAATACCCAATCATGATTGATTGATGGAAATTAGCAGTGTTTTGGCTGACTAAACATTATGTTATATCACTTTAATAATTGTTGTACTCTAACAATATTTTTTTTATTTATCAGTGCACATATGGATCAAAACTCCTCACACTCACAGAATCTGTAAGGGATGCTGCAGATCTGTATCTGTCACTCAAGTACTATCCAACCACATTTATCTGTGACTCTGCCTGTGGCCTAGCTAGACATCTGGAGGTCAGGGATAAAAACCTTGCACAGCAGCTGTGGGGGGACAACCTGGGCTGTTTTGAAAAGCCAACTGTTGAAAAATTACCAAATGCTGTAAGTAATATTAAGTAAAGAATAGTCAGGAGTCAACCTAGTCCCCAGGTGTTCCTTGTTCTTAGGCGTCTAACTTACACTTACTTATAAACTCTTTTTAGTCAAAGTGTCTAATTATGCAGCAATAATATCATAATGCAAATAATATACATGAAAATTCAAAATCAATCATTAGTGTTGAACACAATTAGCAATTAACATTGCTTAATAATAATTTCTATAACAATCCACAGAATCTGCATGTCCCAGATATTGTTACATCTGAATACATGTGTACTCAAGTGGAAACAAGAAATGATGAGGCAGGAGAAATACGACATCCAATAACAGGGTCGACAAGGCATTTCATTTTGGGTGATCGATTTCACAGCACCAACAACCCTCATAAATCACCACTGTGTGCCTATCATAACATAAATCTTTGTAAACAGGCCTACAGTTTGTCAACAAGTACGCAAGAATCAGAAAACAACAGGAAAAACAAACAGCGACTAAGAAGTACTTGCCAGCAATCATTTGAAGTCCATTATATGTTTAACTATCTAATGGACTTCTACTTGAATGAAAGCATTGTAAAAAAACAAAAAAAGATTTTGGAAAAGAGCTTTTCTGAATCAGTAACAAGAAACTCATTCGGTAGATTCGTAAAGAATTCAAAGTAAAAAAAAGAAAAAAAAGAAAAAAAAGAATTCAAAGTAAAGAATGGGAAGTTGACCATACAATATGGAAACTGCTATGATAAAAAACTTTCGTTCAGTGTATTATGATAGTGTATCTATACTTTTACAATATTAAAATAGTCCAAGGTACATTTTAGAGCATTCAGAGATGCCCAATAATTTTGCTTACCATAAAAAACATGCTGATAGACAGGTGCCATGTAATATGCATCATTACATTGATATAAGCTTAGAACTATATGCCTATAATTATGGGAAGTGTGTTTTACCTGTTATCTTGGCTCCGCTAATTGTTATATTTCTCACAAGGAGATGAGTTACAGTTTTAGATTAAAAACAAATGATTCAAACTAAGGAAACCTCATCTCATTTATGCTTTGGTCCTTTGCAATATCACTGATCATCTGTTTATCGAAATTGTGAAACAGTACTTTAAGCTTATAGTAGCAAAATTATGTAAAAATTTGGTGGTAATAATGACTTTGTAATAATAAAAAAGTCTCCCGTACCTTTTCAATATAACTTTCTAGAGTTAAACTGCTATAACCGCTAGTCGTTCAGTTGTTTCAATGGCCATCTCGCAAGCCGCCATCTTGTTTACTATTGGCACGTGACAAAATAGCAGGTTATTATTGGTAGACTACCGAGACCACCACCAAAAATTCATTAGCCAATCAGACCGCAGGATACTAAAGGTGCAACACAACTGAACATTTGATGGAAAATGTAGCTAAAGCTCAAAGTTCACTCGAGTATAAACTAAGTATAGCCAAAGCAACACTACAGTCACTAAAGGAAACCCCTAGACCCAGAAATGCACTTGGTAATAATCGTCATTTCACCTGCAGTAATTGTCATTTAAAGGGCCACCGTACTAATAATTGCATGCAGCCACCATGCGTAGGTTATTTCGAGTGTGGTAATTTGGCATTACACAAAGAACATCGTGACGAAATAAAACAGGTGCGTTTTTTTAATGGGATAATAACTTGACTTTGAAATGGTAGGGGTTTGGGTAATATTTTGGTCTGGGGCTGAGGTATTACTATATAGGGATAAACAAGGTTCTTGACATAAACTTATCCAATTCCATATTTGGTCATTGCATCTATTTTATTATCACTAAAACTAGTTGCTTTCTGTCTGAAACAAAGTCTATGTGCTGCGGATTTGAGTTTTTTTTATCATAAACAGGATAACCATATAGGATTCTAGCAGCACCCCATAACCATATCAAGTGTGCAAAATGATGCTTCAAGAGATATAAGTAATATATCTACAACAGGGCAGCTTGTAATTTGGCATTATTATATATACCCCACACTATTTGTGCCAAAAATGACTAAAATATATGGAAATTTGTTTTCCAGTCAAATTTGCTTGAGAATTTTTAAATCAGCATCTCCACTTTTCAAGATGCTACACAATTTATTCTTTATTACATTACAAGAAAAGTATCCCTAAGTTCCATTTTGTTTATTACAATTTTAGGCAGAGAATGAAGTGAAGGAGCTACAAAAACAGTTTGAAAAAAACAAAAGTGACATGGACAACTACAAGCTGCTTCAGTATGTACAATTGCATTTGATACTTTTACAAGTTTAATTACTTACAAAATGACCACAATTCTAATTTATTTTTAGTGGTCATTAGCTATGCTTCCTCTGTCTAGCTGAATAGACATGGATTTTGTTGGCAACCATGTGCATAGTTTATTTCTCAGCAATTCCCTCATGATCACAGTGTGACAACCAGTTATTATGTATTTACATACTTCTATGTCTGCATTTCAGTCGATCATACTTTTCAGCGTCACATTGTAKTTATTTCCTTGTTTATATATATATTTACAACAAAAATATAAGCTTCTAAATTATTCTTTTCCACAGAGATCGCACAAAGACTAATTTTTTCTCACAGATGCGTCAGAAGCTATTTATCTGCAACCCTGTTAAGTATTCTAACAGAACAAAGCTAGATAACGATCTACGTATATTGGCAGCAGCGTGCAGTCATCGACCACCTCCAGCTTCTGTAGATTTGGAACAAATGATTGAGAGTTATCAAATGAAATCAAGAGCTGTGTTTGATCAAAGTTCCAGGTCAGATGACAGCATGTTTAATTACCATCCCACCCTGCCTAATTACAACCAGATGGAGAATTGTAATTTCCCTGTTACAATTCATAAACCAAGGTCACCATTTACCATAAACAATGCAAGCCCTTTACATAACATTCAACCACCTCATGGAACTAACAGATTTGTAGCTCCAAGTCCACCACCAAGAATGTATGTCAGATACCCATCGCCTTCAGTAAGGAGACAGCCATACAAAAGTCCTACATCTCCCCAAACCTATGGTTATCAAAGTCCAACTTGGCTGTCACCGTCAGGAGATGAGAGTTACAGGTTCTGGAATGAACCTTCACCAAGACCAAGTTATCATTCTCCAAACTACTACTGTAGTAGCAGAGGTAATGACCATAACACTCAATCATTTACTCAGCCTAAACACAAAAGGGCCAAAAGAAAACGCCTCGACTATCCAGGAAATCCAAGGTCAGATGCAGAGCTTGGAAGAAAGTTTAGACAATCTTTGAATGCTACATCTACTAGTACAAAGCATACCATTGGATCTGATGATGACACTCRAGACTACCCATCAGACAGTCCAGATAAAAGTACTGAAATAGCAAAGTCGCTTGRTAATGAGTCACAGCTTCCAACGATGGAGGATTCRCAAGTATTTGATTACAATAYTTGGGTGAAAGAGCAAAAGGGGAAAACCAAAGAGATCACYAATGATGAAAACAAGTCTCCAGAAAAGCAAAGCCCAGAAAAAAAGTAAAATTTAAMTGTGCATCTTTTTGTCCRTTATTATAAAATGTTTTCAAAATTGTTATATGAAGTAATGATTATTGTTACCTGTTGTAGTTGATTGATCTAATCTTGACTCCAATGATTGGAGTAAATTTAATATTAGATTTAAAAAAGTTTTGTAGGTTGCTTTTGACAATTTATAAGGCAATTGTTTTTTCGACCAATTTGATTTTTAATACCAAGCTATTTACATGTTTACATTATGTGTGCACTATACTAAATGGGCGTGGATAATTAATAATAAATTATGACATGATAGAAAAAAATAGTGTCACAAACATGACTGATCATTTTGTCATGAAAGYATTGTAATTTCCTGGGAGTATTTTCCCACTAGTACTGTCTCTCAACAGCATTAGTACAGATTTTGTTTGGCTGAAAATAATTTGTTATATTTTGTTGATGTTACATGTAGGAAACACTGGAATTTTTATGGTCACAGTAGACCAAAGTTGCAATTTAGTATGTTTGAAATAATGCGATAGAAGTGTTTAGTGCTAAGACTTAATCATTTTGATTGTCAAAGTCAGTGACCTTGAGGATGAGATTGAAGAGGGATGACCATGACTTATTTTGAGTTTTAATTTAATTTATAGATTTAAAATATTATTTGTAGAAAAAGATACAATGTCAAGTTTATGACAACTTGTCATCATCTCTTGTTCCCATKTATAAGGTTATGAATGGCAATGGCAGCATCAAAACACATGGAAATACTGTCTTTTCYATAGTTGAAAATGTCAAAAGAAGATAAAATAAACAACAGTCTTAGAATACATAATTTTATTATAAAAGTTGAGTTAGTAAGTTATAAAAAAAAGTAAAACTTGTTGCTCCTTTACAAAATTTGGAAATAAAGTTTATCTTTGTTTGTTTTGAATGATTTAGCTGTTTGGGGGGGGGGAGGGGGCTGTTTGTGGGGGAGAATTTTGTTCCAACAATATTACAAGTATTGATCTGCAAATGATACATTACAAATAACTCGGATTATTACATGTACAACATACATTATATTCCCTCATAGTTTATTTTAAGAGCCTAAAACTGACTTGTATAGGCAGTATATAAGCTCATAATTATTATTATTATTCCATCATTTGAAACATTAAAGTGCT